CTTCCCAAATCTATACCTCTAACCTAGGCTGCTTTCCTCCGATTCTTTTCCTCAGGTTCAGAACTATATATCTAACTATCCACTGGAAAAGCCCTCCATCTGAAGAGAAACCAAAAATCAGCTACAAAATTAATCTTATTAGCGTACCCTTTCTCTCTGTCCCCACCCCCAATGTTCCCCAACCCTGTATCCCTTTCCTGATTAGTGGTAATATTCAACCAGTTGCAAAGCCTGCAAAGAGTTCTAGGTGTCCTTTTCTACCTATTTGACCCCCCCTACCCATACTTCAAGTATACCCCAGGACAGCAACCAGTCACAAATCCTTTTGATTCTATTTCAAATCCATCTCTTTCTCTCGAGCTCAACTTAGTCAAACCAACAGCCTTGGTAAAATCCTCATAATTTTCATTTGGATATTCCCTAAGTGGTCCTCAATTGCTCTAGCCCCAGCATTCCCAAGACTGAATTTTATCACTGTTTCCTCATTTAAAGTCTAAACTCCCTAAAAGTCTGACAATAAGCACAATCTGACTTTTGCCTATATATTTTCACTGTAACAGTTATATATTTATTCCCTTTGAGAATGTAAGCTCCTTATATACAGAGGCCATATGACTATCACCATAAATGTGCTGAGTGCATAAATGCTCGTCCAGTCTTTCTTGACACCCCCTCCCACCCCCCGGCTTGCTGGCACGCTTCATCTCTCGCAGCTGTCACCAAGCCACGCTCTCAGGCTCCCACACCCTTCATGTGCCCCCTTAAAGAATGCCCCCACTTTATTCCCCACCTGAGAAGGCTTTGTATTTATCATTGAGTCAGTAAAAAAAACTTTTTAAACCACTTCTGTAATATCCCATGTGTTCCCCATAGTCCCCTGTATGTATTTACTATTTAACTGTTAATGTTTACTTGCCTGTCTCTTCCATCAGACTATAAAGTACTTAGGGGCCAAAACAGTGACTGTTTTCACTCTATCTCCAGTACTTACACAGTGCCGGGCACTTAGCAAGCCCTAAATAACCATTCCCCAAATGAAGTAAGGATGTGTCTCATCGGGAATGCCAGACTACATCTCTTCAAAAATCTGTAGTCTAAGTTTGTGCTCCAGGAGATACAAGAATTTTCCTCTCTTAAAAATATATATGATATTCTTCTGTGCAAAATATTTTAGTTTCAAAAGGAAATATAGCCCAAATGCATGACTATCTCAACTCCAATTTGGAAATAAGTAAGGTCTATAATTATGAATAATTTTTTAATTGCTTATGTTACTTTTAAGCAAGGGATAAGGGAGAATAACATTTGTGGTCTAAAAATTATGTGTATCGTATGAAAGCATTCTATATTCATTTCAAGGACATTCTAAAGTTACTATAAAAACTGATTTTAAAAAATATTTTCTTTTAGCTAAATTCAATAAAAAACATTTTTTCCAAAGGCTCAGTAAACTAAACATTCAAATCAATTTATCTTTGCAGATACTGCCTAAATCATCCCACTTTATATCAAGTTGTTTAAAATAGGCTCCTCATAAGAAAGTAAATATGAGTAGATTTTAATATCGTTTGATAGAGACAGAGTCTTTGTCTCCATCTTCTTATTCTACCATACACAGTAATGGAACTCAAATTATAATAGTAAATGTTATTTTAATAGAAGAGCTGACTTATTAACCACTTCTGTCGAAGTACCATACGCGGACTCCCATGGGCATGCTGCTGATTGAGTGCGCGCGGCAGAGGGCCAAAGGCCCGTGTACGTGAGAGGAACAAAACAACAGCCTGTGGCCCTGTGAACGTTGAAGACGTGCTTCAGGTCACCTTAAAAAAAAAATCACTTGGTAACATCTTTGTTATCTGAAGAGAAAAACAAGGCTTAAAATTCAGTTGAATGCTTACTCTCGCGCTCCATCAATATTTTAGCCTTTTATGCAAAAGGATAAAATTTGATGACAAATTCTGGAAGCAAAATGCGAACAATGAACCAAAGGACAACTTTCACATATGCTGAAAATAGCTGCCTAACCTTACTTTACAAGTTGTTTTTCATAGAACTGTATCAAAATAATTGTGAGAGCTGTGACTCTATGTCTAATAAACCACTTCATTTTTATATTTAAGTACAGATGTTTCTACAATAGTTTTTTAAAAGAAAAATATAGTCAGCTCTCTGTATTTGTGAGTTCCACATCTGTAGATTCAACCAACCACAAACGATTAAAATATTCGGGAGGAAAATGTTATGTTGTTGCTAACATGCACTATGTAGTCAGGTCTACAATGGTTGCTTCCATTCTGAACACGTACAGAATTTCTGTCTTGTCATTATTCCCTAAGCAACACAGTATGACACCTACTTACATAGCATTTACATTGTATTAAGTATTATATGCAACCTAGATATGATTTAAAGTGTACAGGAAGATGTGCATAGGTTATATGCAAATACTACACCATTTTATATACGGGACTTGAACATCCGTGGATTTGGTTTGGAGGGTAGGGGGTTCTGAGGGATGTCTGTACCTAATCAGCAAACTGAAAAGAACTTTGCTAATAATTTTGTAAAATATTGAAATAGTCACATCTAAGATATAGTAATATTCTTTGGTTCCCCCATCTAAATAACAAAAAATTTCCTTCACATATATTTTCCCTTCTGAGAGCAAGAAAAAGAACAACATCAAACCAAATCATAATGCTAAAATGTAAAGATGTAAAATTTTTAAAAGCACTCATATCTGCCCTGGCTGGTGTGGCTCAGGGGACTGAGTGCTGGCCTGCGAACCAAAGGGTTGCCGGTTCGATCCCCAGTCAGGGCACATGCCTGGGTTGCGGGCCGGGTCCCCAGTTGTGGGTGTGCAAGAGGCAACCGCACACTGTTGTTTCTCTCCCTCTCTTTCTCCCTCCCTTCTCCTCTGTTTAAAAATAAAATAAATTTTAAAATCTTTTTTAAAAAAGTATTTATATTTTTATTTGAAAACTTCTCTTGAATATCATCTTGAATACACAAGCAAGACTTACTGCATAAAAGTAACAGAACTGAAATAATGTATTCTGAAAAGATAATGACATAAAGACTCATGTTAAATGAGTATTAAACCTTACTTCTATTTAGAAATAGTTTCTGTGTAAAAGAAATGTTATAAACATATTGCAAAATGTTCTTAGGCTGTTGATTTCTGATTTGTATAGGATAGATAATTTGGAAAAAAAGGAAAAAGAAATAAAGTAGAATAAGCAGCATAACCAAATTTATCTTTGGTGTCAAAAATGTTCTATTTGGCCAAACCCAGTTGTAGTATCTTATGGCCATTAAACAGAAAGTATAAGCCTCACTTACATTGTAAGTCCCTTCTCATATCTAGAAAGTAACATATTCATTTTAGAATAGTAAAAGAAGGACCTAATCTCTTTGCAGAGATTTTTCAATAAGGTTAACAAAGATCTAGATATAAAATCATGCTTCATAACTGACAGGAAGGAAAACATATGGTAGAAAAAGAATAATTTTTGGATAAATAACATAGCCATTAGCTTTTCTCACCCAGAGCCAAATTTTTTTTAGTTACTACTCAAATCACTATTAAAATGATAGAAAATAGGTTTTTAGGGTGTTTCGAGTAAACATATCCATAATTTCTAGTAAAAAAGGAAAACCTATTAAAATACTCCAATACATACTACACCCTCCAGTGGGCAAGAATCCATGGAAAAATATAAAAAGATTTAGTTGGATTTTCCACTCAGTTAAATCAGTCTTGTAACTAATGAAATGATGGCCCTAAAACCTCAAAGTTCACATTCTTTTAATCACTTACTATCTGAATTAGAAGCAGCATTTTTTTTTTACAAAAAATAACAATTTCGATCTTATAGATAAGTAATGTTAAGAAATAAAATCATGATCTGCTTATTTTTCCTTAAAAAGCAAAATCTATGAGATTCTTATTTCTTTAACTTATAAATGGAAAAAGGTAAACAAAATAAATCACATATAAAGACGCATAATTAAAAGATGAAGTATCCTTTATATCATAAGCTGCAAAGGCAGCACTAATATTTTAAAGCAAAACACAAGAATTATGGTTCCTTAGTGAGAACTGTGGCAGAAAAGCAGTATGTTCATTAAGTTTTTCAGGAAAACAACTTACATTATCACCTGGTAATATTTAGTATTACTGGTCTCATGAGGCTATGTGGTCACTACGTAGAAATATAAACACACTTAGAATAAAATTAAGACACTATCTAAAAGAGCCCTTATTCTATGTGGCTAATGTTTTAGCACTTAAATGATATAATAGAAGCAAAGACTAAATTAAAAGTATTCCACAATGGTCCAAATGTCATTTACGTTTCTCCAATTTATAAGAGAACACAAAACATATATTTAACACATAAATCTAGAAATTTATATATAAAGATGTACATTTCCGAAAATGTATCAAAGAATTTTTATATATATACATAAATACTCTAGGAAAAACTAGTACAAGTAAGACTACTTCAGATCTTGAACCTATTAACTAAGATATGAGTCCAGTAATTAAAGGACAACAGTGACACCTAGTGAAAATTTCAAATACATGCCATACATATCATGAATGAAAAATTTATTTCCAGTGTTTCCTGTATTTCAATCTGTATGTCTAAAAGTTTCCATAATAAAATACTGGGGAAAAATAAGGGTGACAATTAGAATTCAAAAGAAAATTTAAAGTATTATAAAAATTAAAAATGTTTTCTTAAATATCAACAATTTTACTTTTATATGCAATAGTTGGCAAAAGTAGGTTTACCGTTGTGAGTACATAAAACACAATTTATTCTTATATTATTACTAATTAATTATTGTATTATTTTGCATATGAAAGACTGTTTTTCTACTTTTGACCACCCCTGTATTAACATTTACTCTCTAATTTAATGTTAAATATGGCAATTCTCCAAAGAGCAGGAGTTACGGGATACATACTTTAAAATTTAAAAACATACCCTAATTTCTTGAAGGTTGTGGAAATTATTTCCGACTCTGACTGAGATCTTGCTTGGAGTATAGCTTTCATCAGATTTGTAGTCTGCATAAATACATAATGTTTTCACCGTTGTTTTTCTTCTAAAAGCAATAGAGTAGAAACAACATGGCCTTTACCACATGGAAAGATTATATTCAAAACATCTGACTTTGAAAATCACTGTTTGCTAAAACGAGTATTTAAATGAACAATTTCACTGTTCTTTTAACAATGATGAAAATGAAGAACATGTAAGAATATAGGTACACATTTTACTTACATAGACAGCTCTTATCTAGAGTATGGTCAAGAACAAGATGTGAGCAAAGAAGAACCAGTTAAGCCAAAACAGGCACCTAAGCGTGTAAACAAGCATTATAGATTTCAGTCCTTTCCATTTGTGTTTTTGACAAAGAAACTATTCTACCAAGCTTAGTTTTCACTAATTACTTCATTTCCTATGTTAATACTTGAAAATAACTAAGTGAGAAATGAAGTCCAGCAAAGAGAAAAGCATTTTTCAAAAAACGGAAGGTACAATCTAGCCCTTAATGCAAATATAAAATTCTCCTGTTTTAAAAGTATCCATATTAAGAAAGGTGAGCAAAGACTATGTAACAGAAAATTAATCTCAGAAAAATGCAAGTGACAAAAAAACAAAAATATGTTCAATCTCTAATAATCAAAGAAACAATTCAAAACACAGAGACATTTTGTTATCATATTGCAAAACAGTAAAATGACTGAAAAATACCCACATTTGACTAGAAAAAGGTACTTTCATAGCCAATCAGTAGGTAAACAGCCTTTGACCAACAAATTCAACTTCTTAGAATGCATTAAAAGACAATATAGCCACTTAAAAACAGATACAGAAAAATGTTTATTGCCCTGCAGTTAAATTACAAAAAAATTGAAACCAACCTAAATATCCATCTTAGTAGGGAATTAGTTAAATAAATTATAATATATCCACTCAAGGAAATACTATACAACTATTTAAAATAATCACGCAGATACACAGTTAGGAAAAAACACAGATTACAACACGATATATACAGGAGGACTTCATTTTGGGGAAAAGAACATATTCTGAAGGCATACAGACTTCGTATATGAATAGAAAAAGACCCACATAAAATCATACAAAAACAGTAAAAGTGACTATTTTGGTGAGGTGGAACTATGGGAGGTCTTTATTTTCTTCTTTATGATTTCTATGTTTCCTGAATTTTTTACAATAAGTACGTGTTATTTTGGTCATTAGAAAAAAAATCAGACAATTTTAAACATCAACCAAAAAAATCACTAAGAAGTCCATTTAAATGTGCTTTAAAAGTTAAGTTCTGGTATAAACTGGCACTAACTTAACAACAATGAGCTCCTTGAACAGAAGTAGTCTGTGTCAAAAGTCAACCTATAAAAACAGCAGGGGATCTGTAGCTCTTAGAGAGGGGACCAGACTTGTGCAGCCTAAGCTATTCATCAGAAAGGAATGGGGAAAGTTAAGGACTTTCCCTCAAATAATAAAGACAGATGAAGATGTAAAACACTAAATACTCAGGAACTGCTGACAGGATAAATACCATTACCAGGTTTTCAAAAGAGGCCAGAGGTATCAAACTGACATCTTTCTGCTTCTGCAGGAACAGGAAGGAGACAAGAGAGGAAGCAAAGGGAGAAGGCGAAGTTCTGAAGGGCATACAAAAGATCTTTTCCCGGATGAGCCATAAGCAGCCTGTGAAAGGACTTTCTTAGTGCAGAGAGATCAAAGGTCATGAAGACTACTCTTAAGGACATCTTCCCCCTTTCTTTTTTTTAAATGAAAGCAGATCTAAAGGACCAAATTTTTCCTCTAAATAATTTTATCTCCAAGTTATGAGATTCAGGATAACTTAGCCACTGGAACCTACAAGATAATCAGGATGAGCTTAGAAAGGCAAAGAACAGTAACAACACTAATCATTGTAAAAACAACAGCAGCAGCAGCAAATAGCAAGCGAATACTTTGTATCTGGACCAGAGGTTTATGTGTATTAATCTCACTTACTCCTCAACCTTGTGATATAGGAGCTATTATCACCTTCGTTTCACTGGTTTAAAAAAAAAACAAAAACAAAAACAAAGAAAACAACTCAAGTTAATAATTGCTAAGGTCAAAAAGTAGGTGGGCACAGTAGGAGTTCAAATGCAGGTCTGTCCGCCTGCCTCCCATGATCTTAAACTATTGCCCTCCTACTGACTAATTGTCCTTAGCTTATTCCACAGTCGTTGACACCAGCTTACAGTAATACGTAAGTACTTACACTTTTTAAAATTTTATCTGCACCATGAAATGTTATCCAAGTTCTGTGTACCCCCAGAAATCATATGTAAAATTTATGCCTTACTCATTGATTCATTAAATTCGCAAAGGGAACTGTGACCTCACCAAAAGTCTAAAATTATTACCCTAAAAGGTACCTGTAAAGCCATTTAAAATGATTTATAAGTTTATCCCGTGGTGAATTTAAAATAGCAGTGCATGTGGGAATTAAATGCGGGGATTATGAGAAATACTATCAGCTATTCAAATTGCTCAAATCGTTGTAATAATAATCACCATCCGCTAAATGCTTTCTACATGCCAGGCAGCCCGCAGAGGCCTTCGGATAGGGTGCTGGGGGGACACACTCACAGTCCCGATGACAGAAGTGATGCTCCCAGTCTCTCTCTCCATTCCCTCCCCGCTACTCCCTCTCTGCTACTCCCTCCCCGCTACTCCCTCTCCGCTACTCCCTTTCGCTGGGAAAGAGCTGCTGGCAGGAAGCAAACATTCGCTTTGTTCCTTCTTGTCACAAATTTAACAGGAGCAGGCCCTACCTAGTCCAGCACTTCCATAACTGGACGGGTCTGTTTAATTCTAGGGCTCAGCATTGGGAAACACACTGGACTGCAGATACACGCCCTTTCTCAAGCGTCAGCTTTGTCAGTTTTCTGAGGATGATATTTTGTTCTCCACCTGGGGGCTCTTGACTAATTTCTCAGCTGCCTGGAAACCAATGAAATTTCAACAGAAGACATTAGTGACAGGAACTCCTGGTTGCCAACCTAACAGCCCCTTTCCCTTTTATCTTCTTAAGGTGCAGATAAAAGGCTGCCTTTCCCAGCTTCCCTTCCAACCAGGTGTGACCAAGAGACTAAGTTATGACCAGTAAGGTTTAAACCAAATGCCTGAGTGAATTAAAGTAAGCTGCTTTAAGAGGAAGACATGCCCTTTTTACCTTTCCCACCTCCTCCTTCCTGCTGCCCAGGATACAGTCGCAGGGTAGACCAGCGAGCGAGAACAGTGAAATGCAGAGAGGGAATCCGGGCCCACAGGACTCTGAGGGGCTGCCAGCCTCCTCTTACAGGCAGAGGCAGCAGAAAGAAACGTCCACCTCGATTAAAGCACTTTATTAGAAGCTCTGTTACTAGGCGGTCGCGTTCCTATTTAGTTTGACCTCACGATGCCCACCTTACAGGTGAGGAAACGGAAGCGCAGATCCGAAGGTAAGCGACCAGCCCCCATTCCAGTGCCGCAGAGGGCCAGGTGCCTGCTCTGTGAGCAGCTGCGAGCCCTCGCGGTCCAAGAGCTAAAACTAAAAGGCAAAACAGTTATAAAATTGTTTATCATTCCCTGTTAACCTGCTGACTACATTATTACTCAGAGACTGAGCTATAAATGAAACAAAGGGTCTGCATACTCTCCTAAAACAAAACGCAAACAAAAGATTTATATACATATAAATGATTGCACTCTCCTTTGCTCCTGGTTCAAGGCGGAAAACTCCCTCTCTGTGTGAACATTTGTTTCTGATCACTCTTAACAGGCTACTACAGTTAAGGTGTTCACTGAAGACTGAGACAACAAAGACCATGTTTTACTAGAACATATGAGATCTTAATGCAAAATTTTCAGCAGATATGACTAAAAACAAAACCAAAACAAACAACAAAAAGTCAAAGATGTCTCCTCATGAAGAAGTAATTTTTACAGGCCTTGCCCTCCCACCATAAACAACTTGAATAAACAGGCAACATATATGGAAAACTGTCTGCAGACACCAAACAGCAGGCAGCACACCAGCGGGGTCCTGAGAGGCAGGAACAAAGGAGGTGGGCCACGCGAAGACGCCAACAGGGTCGCGTGGTCTCACAGAGCTGAGGGCGGGGCTCTGCTGGGGAAAAACGCCAGAAACCTGCCTGGAGCCCCCTTGAGTCTCTGACTGGAAACCACTCTGCACGTGCAGACGGCAGCACTGCACAGAGACAGGCAAAGAACAGCAACTGCTCAGGAAAGAACAATTACTGGGGTGCAATAAGCAAAACAATAGCCAGAAGTGACACACGGCAGGGAATCGTTAGAGTTCCCAACAACCGAAGTGGAGGGTCCAAACGTTTCTTCAAACGCCTAGGACATTAATCTGAGACCCCGGAAGGATCAGGATTCATAAACCACGATGTTAATCTTGTCCCTGAGAAGTGATGGTTAAAGAGTGGCCTGGGGATCACCGAGGAGGCTTGCGGGGCAGGGACAGGGGCGGGGACAGGGGCAGGGGGCGGGGGGCGTGGTGCTCAATACCCTTTCAGGGAATCTGCAAGATCACAACTATTTTCCTATAAATACTAAGATGTTATTTGTCTTTTCCAGAATCACTCTTACGTGTGTACAGTGGAGTTTCCCAGATGCTAGCTGACATGGGATGTTGTAAAACATTTAATGAAGAAACGTGTATGAGACTCCAACCGTTTTCTCTTAAGGGAAACACTAGAGAGATTCACAGAGAAGGAAAAGCAACCCTCTTCTCACTATTTTTGTTTGGGAAGATACTGTTATTTTTCATTTAAAAATGTTACTTATGTTAACATAATAGGTTAAGTATTAGTTAATAAATAAATACTTAAAAATTCCTCAGCTATAATTTCTAATATGGTAAGTACTGATAGTTACAAAATATAAACAGAAACTCTCTGGAGGCCTCGGTGAAAGTCCCTAGCGGCCTGAAAACCCAAAAGTTGGAGAGCTGGCACCCTGGCACAGGGATCAGCGAACCACAGCTCAGACAGGCCAAGCGCGCTT